GCCGGGATTCGAACCAGAGACTGTCTTCCTCCGGGTGGTCCGGTTTTGTCCACAGTCCAAACACATGCGCTATAGGGGAGTTGATGAACTAAATTTGCTGTCATGTATGAGTGTGTATGGGTGTTTCCCAGTACTGGGTTGCATCTGGAAGGGCATCTGCTTAGTAAAACATATGCTGGAATAATTGGTGGTTCATTTCGCTGTGGCGAACTCTGATATATAGGACTAAGCCAAAGGAAAATGAGTGAGTGAATTTTACCCAACGGTTGGGTTTGTGCATATTTAACCCAACATTGGGTTACAGCAACGCAGCATTTTTACAAGCAGACAGAGCTGAGAATAATAGAAATAGAATAAGTAGATATATTTGTTTAGCAGCACACAGATTGATTGAATGTGTGGATAATGACAGATTTTCCTCCTCTTTTAGACCTGTGCTGAGACTCGCTGTGCTTTATTTATTTATTTAGCGTGTGACACTTTTAGAAAGCATCAGAAATGGCTGGATATCCCTGCGGGCGGCTTTTAAACCATTTCTGAGTGCTGAAGCCGTTTCTCCTTGTTATTATTATTTTTGTGTGTGTGTGTGTGGATCTTCTCTTTTGGACACACCGTTATTATTAATGATGTACCTGTAATTCAGCAGACCTGCTCAATCAACACCCGCTGAAATGCAGCACATGCATGCTGATCTGCAATCGAAAACATGCAGCATATTTTACAGTGGTGCTTTACTGATTTAATGCTGACAATGTGAAAAGGACAAAGTGAATTGATGCTTTATCTGCACACCGATGCTTATCTTATTCTGGTGTCCACATTAGATCAGAACTACAGGTGCTTTCAGATATGCGAAAGAAAATAAAGTGTACATCGTAATGTTTCTTTAAGATGTTGAAAGGATTTACAGAGAACTTTGACATATGGTCCATCATTTTGTTGTAAGGTCTTCTTTTCTAAATATTCCCCAAATGATGTTGAACAGATTCAGGAATTGTTCACAGTATTTCCAGAAAGTCCTATTTGTTTTATTTGGCCTAGAATAAAAGCAGTTTTTAATTGTTTTAAAGCCATTTTAAGCTCAAAATTATTCGCCCCTTCAGCAATATTAGTGTTGGATTGTCTCCAGAACAAACCACTGTTATACAATGACTTGCCTAGTTACCCTAACTTTACCCTAATTAGACAAGTGAAGCCTTTACATGTCACTTTAAGCTGAACACTAGTGTCTTGAAGAATATCTAGTCTAATATTATGTGCTTTTATCTTGACAAACAGAAAATAAATCAGTTATTAGAGATGAGTTATAAACACTATTATGATTAGAAATGTGTTGAAGGAAAAGCTGGGTTGTATTAGCGAAACGTTTGGGTCAAATACAGACAACTCCAACATTGGGTTATTTTTTATTTTTATTTAAATGACACTTTTCAACACAAAGGTTGGGTTTGTCCATATTTGACCCAACATTTGGTTACATTCTTAAAATTGTTGGATTATTGTAACTCAATATTGAGTCAAACATGGAAAAAAATATATATTTTTCCTCAGAATAAATATGTTGCTTTGACATTTTAAGAAAGACACATGATGAAACTACTTTTTACATGCATATTGTAAAAATGTTGGGTTGTTGTAACCCAATATTTGGTCAAAAATGGAAAAAAAAATGCATATTTTGGGTTTAGAATTGTGATTTAAATTTAATTGAACAAATTAACCCAACATTTGGGTTTATCCATAAATTAGCTCCGGGTTAAAACAACCCAACATTTTTAGAGTGTAGATTTTACCCATTTGTTGACAGAATTGCATTGAGTATCTATGGGGGCCGTGGAATGTACCACACCGGCAGTGACGCGGGGGAAGTTGTTGACCACACGTAAAGCAAAACCGCGTTAAGCTGCTCATGTGTTTGCCACAAAACAGGCACAACAACCCTCGATCGCGGTCCATGTTTGGTCACCATAAACTTTGTTTACGCCATGTACTCCACAGCACGAATATACTGCGCTCACCAACAACTTTCCCACTTCCGGTGTGTGGTACATTCCCTTTCCGTGAGGAATCTGTAATTGTAAATTTGTTTCAGGATTTGTAAAAGTGTTTTGCGTCTTGTTAATTTGTTTTCTGAAATGTAAATGTGTTTGGTCCTTGGTAAAATTGTTTTTCCTCTGTAATTGTGTCTGATGATTGGTAAAAAAATTTTTAAATGTACATTTGTCTCGAGCTTTGTAAAAGTGTTTCAGACTTTGTAATGTTGTTTTGCACTTCCCGGCCACCATAAGTATCATCACTTATTCTTTAATATAATTTCATAAAGACAGCTCAGAATAAATGTTGTTTTAACTATTAAAGAAAGTGATTCTGTCTTCAAATGGGTGAAGTCTACACTCTAAAAGTGTTGGTTTGCTTTAACCCAAAGCTGAGTCAAATGTGGACAAACCCACATGTTGGGTTAATTTTTTAAATTAAATTTAAATTACAATTTTAAACCCAAAAGATGATTTTTTTCCATATTTGACCCAAAGTTGGGTTACAACAACCCAACATTTTTAAGAATGCATTATATGCACTTAATGTTTCTTTAATATGTCAAATCAACATATTTATTCTGAGCTGTCTTTATAATTTAAAGAATAAGCAATGATACTCAAAAGATGATTTATTTTTTCCCCATAGTTGACCCAATGCTGGTGGCAACAACCCAACATTTTTAGATTGTAATGTATGCATGTAATGTTTCTTTAACATATCAAATCAACATATACTGTATATTCTGAGCAGTCTTCATGAAATTATATTAAAGAATAAGTGATAATATAAATGTGATTCTGTCATCAAATGGGTAAAATCTACACTGCAGCCAAAGCTGAGTCAAATATGGACAAATCAAAATGTTGGGTTAAGTTTTCAATTTAATTTAAATTACAATTTTAAACCCAAAAGATGCATTTTTTTCATATTTGACCCAAGGTTGGGTTACAACAACCCAACATTTTAAAGAATGGATCATATGCATGTAATGTTTCTTTAATATATCAAAACAACATGATTATTCTGAGCTGTCTTTATTAATTAAAGAATAAGTGATAATGTTTGATGTAATTCTGTCATTAAATGGGTAAAGTTTACACTCTAAAAATGTTGGGTTGTTTTAACCAAAAGCTGAGTCAAATATGGACAAACCAAAATGTTTTTTTTTTTATTTAAATTACAATTTTGAACCCAAAAGAGGCATTATTTTCTCCATATTTGACCCAACGTTGAGTGGCAACAACTCAACATTTTAAAGAATGTTTCATATGCATATATTGTTTCTTTAATATATCAAAACAACATATTTATTCTGAGCTGTCTTTTAAAAATTATATTAAAAAATAAGTGATGATACTCAATGTGATTCTGTCATCAAATGGGTAAAATCTACACTCTACAGATGTTGGGTTGTTTTAACCCAAAGCGGAGTCAAATATAGACAAACCAAAATGCTGGGTTATTTTTCAATTACATTTAAATTACAATTTTAAAACCAACAAGATGCATTTGTTTTCTCCATATTTGACCCAATGTTAAGTGGCAACAACCCAACATTTTAAAGAATGTAATATATGCACTTAATGTGTCTGAAATATGTCAAAACACCATTTATTTTGTGCTGTCTTCATTAATTAAAGAATAAGTGATGATACTTAATGAAATTCTGTCATCAAATGGGTAAAATCTACACTATAAAAACGTTGGGTGGTTTTAACCCAAAGCTGAGTCAAATATAGACAAACCAAAATGTTGGGTTATTTTTTTTTCAGTTTAATTTAAATTAAATTACAATTTTAAATCCAAAAGATGAATTTTTTTCCAAATTTGCCTCAATGTTGCCCCGGCATTTTTAGAGTGGACAGATAAAGATTTCAGATGACAACTGATGAGTATTTAAGGGCCAAACCGATCCTAAAATACACTACAATACCGGGTTCTTTAAACACAAATTGGGTAAAATATAGGCAGCCCCATGTGTTGGGTTAAATTAAACATTGTTCTATAAATTTGCACACACTAAAAAATGAATGCAGCGATAATTCAACCTGAAATTGGGTTGAAATAAGCCAGTATTTTGTAACGTGTGGAGACTTTTAATATGTCTAAATTCTAAATGCTCAGGACAAGATGTTTGCATGTTTATAACCATTAAAAGAGCAGATTCTGATGTATAAAAACTTGATTTACCTAGCAGAATGAGAAATCCATGTCAAAGCAAGCAACCATATGAAATCAATGCATTTGTGGCCTCTGATCGCAATAATCAGATCTTTCTAAAGCATTACATGTCACTCTGTCCTCCAGTCGCATGTGTCTGTTCTTCAATATACTGCTTTAATAATGAAAACATGGCTGAAAAGTGGTGATGCACCAAGAACCTCTAGAAAGACTGTCCTCTGTGGTCAGCAGCACAGATATCTCTCAGACACAGAGGGCTAAAATAAAACCTGATGTTCTCTCTTTGCTCTGTCTAATCATTCATGCACAAGATACGGCGCTTTTACATACAACACACGAGCAGGTCTGAGCATTCAAGCACAGGCCGATCCAGAAACTCACCGAGCTGCTGTTATTATTGGGGTCTCCGAGCATCATCGAAAAACCTCCATAAACCAAATCACATGCAAAACCCTGACTTTGAAGATTTCAGAGCCGAAACAAAAATCCAACAAGACTGAAGATGTGCAGCTGATGCACGCGTGTAAAATGGGTTATTACCGCGCGGTGGGATCTTACCTGCGTGCTCTGCTGTCCTGCGACTAACAGCCCGAATAAAGCACTTCTTTATGAGCTGCAAAACGAAAACGTGGGCGTATTTTCGACTATAGCGCTGATTTTTTTTTCTTTCGTCAGTGACTCACGGGGTCGTTAAACCTCCTATATATCTGCATATTCATGATCAATGAAAATCGGACGGGAAAGACGCACATGATGCACATGCAAAGCAAACGCAGATATCAGGCGCAGCTGCTGCTTACCTTCACCACAGCAGGAAAAAAAAAAACCTTCAATCCAGGAGACGATGCTGATGATGAGGAGGAGGATGAAGAGTAAGAGAAGCCCGTCGGATGCGGACAGATCTGCGGACCTCCAGCAGACACGCGAATATCCCGCGGAGAAGCGCAGAATCCTCGCCGGCTTGCTCGACTCCTGCTCCGGGTTTGAGTGTCTGCTTTCCCCCACTGGAGCTGGAGCGGCTCTGCGTTAGAGATCCAGAGAAGTTCAGACTCTCAGCCTTCACAAGACTGATGATGGTGATGAGCGCGTTTATCACAGATTACACACACACACACGCGCGCGCACACACACACACACACACTGTGCATTCACAGGCGGTTTTTACAGCAGCCAAACTGAACTGGAAAACAGACTGAAATTTGAATGTGAGTCAATGCACGGATATTCAGTCCCTACAGCAGTGTTAAATGCAGAAATCACACACAACGTGCACATTCGGCGTATTCTCGTTTCTTCTGTGAAACACGCAAGACAGTATTGATATTAAGATGCGTTTTGCCCATACAATGAAGGTCAATGGGACTACAGTAAATGCTGGGTCGTTTTAACCCAGCGTTGGATTATTTCAACCTAATAGATGGACATCGGGAAAAATGTATTTATTTATTGTTATATTAATATTATATTATAATTTAGACTTACCCTTTTATGTTCTCATAGTTATAAAAAATATTTTAAGTTGCTGTAATACATTTTATTTAAATCTTTGTTTTATACATATAGCTTAATATATATTTGTTTTTATTTTTTTTTATTTTTTTTTTTATTTCAAGGTTTGTAAATCTGTGAGCACAATTTTTTTTTTTACAGAAAATACATTATCGTACTGTTAAGCATTACATTGTTGGTCCCTTTATATTAAGTGGCCTTAACTAATATGTACTTACACAGGAATTAATAAGTTTGTTACAATGTACTTATTATGTAAATACATGTATTTTCTTTGTACTTAAGCTTGATTAAATACATATATGTAATTGCATCTGTAATTAACTTTTGTAATTACATTTGTAAATACACTGTTGACCATCCCTTACACCTTAACCCACCCTTAAACCTACCCATACCACCAAACCTGTTCATAAACCAACCTCTATCCCAACTCAAAAGCACCACAAGTGTTCTCAAATACATTATCAACACAGTAAGTACATTGTATTTATTTTTTGATGTAAGTACATAGTAGTTAAGGACACTTAATATAAAGTGGGACCACATTGTTAACTGTTTAAATAAATGTTCACTGTGAACTAACACTTGGGCTACTGTATTTGCTCTAAATTGGAAATTACGTTATTTTAATATAGTCAGTTATGACTCGTGAACTAAAGCCGATCTGCTTGAAACTCCAGGGCTGAAAAGGTGTCCCAATCCGGCCCTGATTACGGTTATAATATAAATATTAGACCCAGCTGTTAGTGTTTGACTATTATTTGACCCAATACTGAGTCAAAACAACTCTTCATTTATTAGAGAATATTGCAAGTAAAATATGTAAAGTCTTAAACTTAACAAATGTCTAAAGTCAACAACGACACAATGATGTTTGCTGGAATTCCAACTGAAAAATGGATTTGATGCCTTAATTAAATGCATAAATCACACACAAAATTTAAACTTGATGTGGTTTCCCTCTTCTGTGGAACATAAAGCAATATTTTAATATTAAGATCTGTTTTACCCATGTCAGTGGGCGAATAGCTAAATGCTGGGTTGTTTTTCTACCAAAACAGCCTCTAAAAATGTGATGTTTGTTTAAATTCCAATTGAAATGTGAATAAATAGTCAATAGTTGTGTTAAATGCCTAAATCGCACACAAAATTAAAACTTGGTGTATTTTCATTCTTCTGTGGAACACATAAGATGATATTTTAATATTAAGATGCGTTTTGACAATATGGTGAAGGTCAATGGACGACTAGCTCAACGTTGGGTTGTTTTTTAACCCATCGCTGGCTTATTATGGACAGTAAATATAAATAAATATAATTAGACCCGATTGTTAGGGTTTGTCCATTATTTCACCCAACATTGAGCCAAAACAACGCAGCATTTAATAAAGAATACAGCACCTACAAATATGTAAAGTCTTAAACTTAACAAATGTTTAAAGTCAAAAATGACCCAATGATGTTTGCTAGAACTCCAATTAAAAATGGACTGGATGCATTAATTAAATGCATAAATCAGACACAAAATTAAAACTTGATGCATTTTCCTTCTTCTGTGGAACACATAAGACTATATTTTAATATTAAGATGTGTTTTACTCATGTCAATGGGTGAATAGCTAAATGCTGGGTTCTAACCCCTTGGCTTATTATGGACAGTAAATAAATAATTAAATAAATAAATATAATTAGACCCAAATGGGTTTTTGTCCATTATTTCAGCCAACATTGGGTCAAAACAACCCATCATTTATTAAAGAATGCAGAACCTAACAAATACGTAAAGTCTTAAAGTAAACGACCCAATGATGTGTTTTGAAAATCCAATTGAAATGTGAATATGGATTCAAAAACTGTGTTAAATGCATAAATCAGGCACAACATGCACATTTAAAGTATTTTGATTTCTTCTGTGGAACACATCAGACCATTTGTTTCTATTAAGATGTGTTTTGCCCATATAGTGTAGGTCAAGGGGATTCTGGCTAAATGCTGGGTCTTTTTAACCACGCAATGGGTTATTTCAATCTAATATATGCACATTGAATAAATAAATAAATAAATATTAGACCCAAATGTTAGAATTTGTCTATTATTTGACCCAACTTTGGGTTATTTCAACCTGAAAATCATATAAAAAATATGAATATGAATATGGATTTAAAGCATTAACTGGAGATTAAATGACTAGAAGTGCTGTAAATCACACACTAAATCATAATCTGGCAAATATATATTTCTTCTGTTGAACTCAAAAGGAAATATTTTGATATAAAGATCTGTTTTTCCCATAAAGTGAATGTTTTTAACTCAACTGTTGGTCTATTATGCGACTCAACATTTAATCAAAATAAGCCAGAATTGATGATCATGCAGCACCTCCAAATATGTGAAGTGTAAATTATGAGGTATTTCAACACAAATTCTGTACAATTTTTGGCCAAACCCAATTGGTAGATTTATTATTTGGTTACATTTATGAACCAAATTTTACCCAACAATTGAGTTATTTTTCATTTCTTGTGGAAGGAAGTATATTAATATGGAGATGTGTTTTGCCCATAATGAAGGTCAATGGGCTCTATCCAAATCCTGGGTCATTTTTAACCCAACGCTGGCTTATTTTTTAATCTAAATTGTATTTTTTTTTCTATTTGTGTCAAATATGGACATACTGTGGGGTTACATTTAAATTTAAACATGAACACAATGTCAATGTTTTACCCTGCAAATTTAGGTTGAAATAACCCAATAAATGAACTTAAAATCCTACAACTGCTGTGAATACAGTATTAATGCATAAATCACACACAAAACCAGAATCTGGCACATTTCCAATCTTTCTGTTGAGAACAGAAAGAGATATTTTGATGTAAATATGTGTTTTGCCCATACAGTGAAGGTTTTTTTAACCCAATGGTTAGGCTTTGTCTCTTATTTGACCCAACATTTGTGTTTTGCACATATACTGTAGTCAATTTTTTAACCCAGCTGTAAGGCCTCATCTATTTGACCCAACATATGGTGAAAATAATCCAAAATATATTTCAGCCTAAAGCACCTCCAAATACTGTATGTAAAGAACAATAAAGTAAGGTATTTTAACCCAGATTTATTATTTTGCTAAAACTATGAACTTAACCCTGGGTCATTTTTAATCCAGCACTGGGTTATTTCAAGCTAATTTAGGGTCAAAAGTGAACATAGGGTTATATTTAAATTGCAAAATGAACCTTATCTCCATATTTTACGCTGCAAATTGAAATTGAAATAACCCAACCAATAAATTAACTGGAGATAAAATTCCTCCATAAGTACAGTATAAATCACACACTAAATGAAGAGATCACGATACTTTGAAGATGCATTTTTCCTATACAATGAGGGTCAACATGTTGGGTGGTTTGGTCATTTTAACCCAATATTGGGTTATATCAACCTAAACTTGGGTCAAATATGGACATAGGGTTAAATTTAAATTTAAAAATGAGCATAATTTACCCTGCAAATTTAGACAGAAATAACCCAACTAGTACATTAACTGTTGATGAAATTCTTCATGAATGCAGAATTAAATGCAGAATCACACACTACATGAAGAGATCACGATACTTTGATATTCAGATGCATTCTGCACATGCAATGAACGTCAACGGGTTGGGTTGTTTGGTTATTTTAACCCAACATTGTGTTATATCAACCTAAATTTGGGTCANATATGGACACAAGGTTACATTTAAATGTAAAAATTAATCTAATGTTCATGCTTTACCCTGCAAATGTAGGTTGAAATAACCCAACCAGTAAAATAGAGATTAATTCCCCTACAACTGCTGTGAATCCAGTATTAAATGCAGAAATCACACATGAAATGAGTTCAGTTTCCTCTGTGGAGCACACTAGGAGATACTTTAACATCAAGATGCATTCTGCCCATACAATGAAGGTCAATGGGTTGGGTCGTTTAGTCATTTTAAACCCAACATTGGGTTAAATCAGCCTAAATTTGCAGGGTCAAATATGGACATTACATTTAAAAATGAATATGTTGTCTACATTTTACCCCAAAAATAAACACTGAAATAACCCAACCAATAAATTAACTGAAGAATAAAATCCTCCATAAACATTAAATGCAGAAATCACACACTAAACGAAGAGATCACGATACTTAATATATTAAGATGCATTTTACCCATACAATCAACGGGTTGGATTGTTTGGTAATTTTAAACCCAACGTTGGATTTTATCACCTTAAAGTTAGGTCAAATATGGACATAGGGTTAAATTTAAATTGAAAAAAATAACCCAATGAACATATTTTACCCTGCAAATGCAAGTTGAAATAACCCAACCAATAAAATCACTACAGATTAAAATCCTACAACTGCTGTAAAAACAGTATTAAACAGAAATCACACAGTAAACCAGAATCTGCTGCATTTCAACTACACTAGAAGATATTAAGATGCATTCTACACATACAATGAAGGTCAACATGTTGGGTCGTTTGGCCATTTTAACCCAACAATGGATTATATCAACCTCAAATATAGACAGTTTTATTAAAATTGAAATGAACGTAATGCCTATATTTCACTCTACAAAGGCAGAAATAACCCAACCAATAAAATAACTGGAGATAAAATCCTCCATAAACACAGCATTAAATGCAGAAAACACACGCTAAATGAAGTGATCACAATACCTTGATATTCAGATGCATTTTACCCTGACAATGAAGGTCAATGGGTTGGGTTATTTGGTTATTTTAACCCAACATTATATCAACCTAAATTTGGGTCAAATATGGACACAAGGTTACATTTCAATGTAAAAATTAACCTAATGTTCATGCTTTACCCTGCAAATTTAGGTTGAAATAACCCAACCAGTAAAATAGAGATTAATCCCCTACAACTGCTGTGAATCCAGTATTAAATGCAGAAATCACACATGAAATGAGTTCAGTTTTCTCTGTGGAGGACACTAGGAGATACTTTAA